GACAATGTCATGAGGCCCACTTTTATAGAGGTGCAGCTAAGCCTCGACGTTTTGTCTAAGATTTTAGGGCTAACAAACAGCTGAACTAGTCTGACTCCAAGTTTGGTCATTCTTCCCGGACCCCATAGTTCCCTTCTGATATTTTACTAGCAAGCCTAAAGATCTGCTCATTCCTTAACATACTGGCCAAAGAGAGAATCATCCGTCAATTCTAACAGGAAATCAAAGAACCTGGCCAAACCCACCGGGGAGCCCAGTCCGGGGCCCCCTGGGATTTGGAAAGTGCTCACCTTTAGAACCTTGAGGTAGGGCAGCCCGTCAGGCCCATATTTACTGCCGTTCTTCTCGACATGCTTGATCCACTGGATGTGGGGCTGGGCATCGCTGTACACCTTGCACACAAACTCCACATCCCCTCCGACCACCGTGGAGGCATTCGCCGGCAGCCCAGCCTGCAGGATGGGCCGGTGTGGCGACCGCTCTGATGGAGAGAGGGGAGAAAGGACAAGCAGGGGTGGGAGGAGGAAGAGACCCATGAATAAGGTGTGCTGTCCAGAGGGCTGCTGGGGGAGCCAAAGAGGCCTCCGTCTGCTGGCTGACTCCTCTGGAATAACACGGAGGCCCCATGCACGACAGACAGCACTTCAAAGGAGCCTGCTGGAGCACAACCCTTGTCAAAACGATTCTTATTTAGAAAAATCAGAAAAGAATTTATTATATCCCAAGTTACTGGTTATCCGTGGCCACCTAACGAATAAAAGGAGAGATTTTATTTTGATAATCTGAAAGACAAATGGCCACAGGGGACCGCTTCACTGAGTGTGCTTGGGATGGTCTCCCAAACCCACGGCAACACTAAGCCTAACATCACGGGCAAACGACAAGACACCTCACACAGCCCCAGACCTTGATCTGGAACTTCTAGGCCCCAGAACTAGAAGCAAATGTGTGTTGTATCAAGCAAATTCATTTGGGATCCTTTGTTACTTTAAGCCATTCATCTGTCCCAATACCGCCCATGCAGGCCGAGCAAAGAGACCAGCCACCGTGAATACCAAAAAAGGCTCCACTCCTCATGGTGTCTCCTGAGCATTTTTAAAATGTCCTGAGAAGACCTGCATCCCTTATTTTAAAATATAAACTAGAAACCTAAGTCTCTAGACCAAACTCCAAACTGGATTCACCTCTACCAAGGAGCTTAGTCATTGATTGGCTCCCTATTCGAACATTCTCTTATTTAATAAACATGAATGTCACTGTATGCCAGGAACTACAGGAACTAGCAGACAGTCCTTGCCTTAACAGACGTGGCCCCGAAAGAAACACAAGGAGAAGCCAGTCCCCCAGCTTGGGCTAACTTTTGGACTGTCGGGGAGAAGGCCCAACACAGGGGATGCCTGCCATTGCTTCCGGGGCCTCTTGTCTTGTAGCTCTTTCTCTGCAGAGGGCGTTCTCAACAAAGTGCACCCCCCACACACACTTCCTGTTGAGCAGCTTTCAGGAAGGTTCCTCTCCAGTGGAGAGGGCTCTCTGCAGAAATCCTCTTGAGGCCACCAAGCCAAGGTGTGCTGGCATCTACACCCAAGGTTCCTCAAGAATTAAGCAAAAAACAACTGAAAGATGGGCTTAGAACTGGAACAGATATTTTTCCAAAAACAACATACAAATGGTGGAACAGGTATATGAAAATATGCATCATTACTAATCCTCAGCAAAATACAAACCAAAATCACCATGGGCTGTCACCTCACCCTGTTAGGTGGCTACTGGGGAGGATGTAGAGAGTAGATCTCCTGCCCACACAGCTGGTGGGGGTGCAAAACAGTGCGGCCTCCATGAAAAACAATATGGAGGCTCCTTTAAAAAAAAAAAAGTCAAAACAGAACGACCATTTGGTCCCACTTCGAGGTATTCATCCAAAAGAACTCAGGATCTGAGACATGAGCACACCCACGTTCCTCACAGCTCCACTGTCAATCAAGATATTGATTCAGCCAATAACCCAAATCTCCACTGACCAATGAATGGAAAAATTAAAAATGTGATCTCTATATGCAATGGGAAACCATTAGCTTTAAAAAAACAATGGAAATCTTGCCCTGGATGACGATGTGGATGAAACAGGGCAGCCGAGAAAGCACAGGCACTGCAGGATGCAGCTCGTGTGCGGGGTCTGCATGAGCCAACTGTATACCCTCAGAGTGCAGGGGTGGCCGCCAAGGCAGATGGGGGGTTGCTGGACGGGGGCATAAATTGTCAGTCAAGCAGGATGAATAAATTCCAGAGATCTGCTGTACCACCTTGCACTTACTCAACTGAAAGATGTTAGACAGCAGATGAGGACATGTTAGGACAGAACATCTCGTGTGAGGTGTTCTCAAAAGAGGCACGGTGGCCCACGCCTGTAACCCCAGTGGTTCGTGAGGCTGAGGCAGGAGGATTGCAAGTTCAAAGCCACCCTCAGCAATAGCAAGGCACTAAGCAACTCAGTGAGACCCCATCTCTAAATAAAACACAAAACAGGGCTGGGGATGTGGGTTAGTGGTCAAGTGACCCCAAGTTCAATCCCTAGTATCCCCCCAACTAAAAAAAAAGATAAAAACCACAAGTTCACACAGCAATGCTGTCAGGGGCACACTCCACCCAATCAGTGCTCCATCCTCACACCTACATGTACCAACCAGCCTCCCACTTTCTCCCTGAAGTGTAGGAACCACTGCCTTCAATCTGCAGCTTCAAAACAGCCAGGGGAAATGAAGATGCCCGGGCCAGCCCAACACACCAAGGATGCCTCCATACCACACCTAGGACCCTGGTGCTCTAATCAGAATGATAGATGTCTAGGCCTTTCTATATTTGGGGCTTTCAGATTAAAATATCATTTAGTGGAATTTGTTGGACAAGAGCCAGACCATGTGCAAATTGATTTTACTCCACCAGCCTGTTGCTTGCCCTCAAAAACTTTTTAAGAAAGAAAAAGTACCAGTGGTTATCTTCAGCACATTTATTTCTATAATCTCCCATCGCTTCGCAGATACCTATGTCTCTACGTTATAAAGATAAGGATGTCAGAGCCCTCAAGAAGTCATTCATCTGTCCCAATATCACCCATGCAGGCTGAGCAATCACCCCACAAGTCAAGACTTCTCGTTTTTCTGGGCAGAAAATGTCAAACCTTGGTGTCTTCAAATGTCATGTGAAAGCGCCACTCTTTGGCTGACATGTTTTCTCAGGCACAGGCCTTGGGGCCTGGTGTGTCACCAGCAGTGGAGGAGGTATGGTTTCATGGTGGCTGGCTCCGTCCATCTGGGAAGGACTAAGTTGGGTCCACTTACACACACTCCTCTTCCTCACTCCCCAACACACCTCCTACCAGGAGGTTTAACAGCTTAGAGAGGCCATTGCCTGGGCTGGACCCCGCAGTGGGTTCACAAACATGCCCCTTTGTACCTGTCAAGACCAAAGACAGCTCATTCCTTCCCACAGAAAAGTGAATTGTAGGTATCAACTCATTCCCTGGCTCAGTGTTCCACTCAAACGTGTGTGTGTGTGTGTGTGTGTGTGTGTGTGTGTAAGACAAATATTGACAGTGGGCCTAAGATATCTTTTGAAACAAAAGTCCTATAAAACCTTTAATATTATAAGCCAGATTTGCCATAATTCACAACAAGCCCTCTTTCTGAAACATACTAGTTTCTAGTAAATCGTTTCACAAGCAAACACTTGAGCACGTCCTGCCCAAAAACGCCGCCCCATGAACAAGGAGCGCTTTCAGAGCACCGCCGCCTCTGGCCTGTGCCAGCCTCCGACGGGCATCAGTCGCTGGGCAACACTGGCAGGGCCCGCTTCAGGGCTGCGGCCTCGCTTTCCTTGTGGTCAGGGCACTGCTGAGCCGCAGTTATTAAGTTATTCCACTGTTATCCGGACTATTTTCGCCAAAAGAAAAAAAAAAAAAGCCCCGTGCAATGGTTTAATGTTATTACATTTGCGAATTACAGCATGCCAAATGTCACCGCTGGCAGACCTGAATTCATCTTTGCAAATTTTCTCACCTTAAATGAAATAGCCTCTTAGCCACCCCTTCACCCCCTCTGCTCTTTCTCACTTGAGGTACAAAAACTGCAGGCAGGATCGTTCTGTAATAGAAACCTTACACCATCTTCCAAAACTTATTACAGCTGCTTTCGGTATAAAATGAAACCTCCGAGAACGTTATTTAAAATGTTTTTAAAAACTCAGTAGGCCTCATGTTTCGTTTTTCCACATCAGGCTTTGATTTCCTTTGCAACCTTATTCTCTGCCCTTAAACAAGTTGGAGAACGAGGCCTGAAACATCTTGGAAAAGGTCCCAGGATGCCAGCATCTGCCGAGCACCACACGCCTCTTCTTGTCACCTTCAGCCACGGATAGCGCCTTGGTGTCCACCACCCTGAAGAGCAGGGGTCAGGAATGGATGACGGTGTGCGGACTTCTGTTCTGACTTCTGAGGTGCTGGGGCAAAAGCCAGGCACGGATGGCCATGACAAAGCTGTCCAGGCAGAGGGGACAGGCCAGGGCAAGAGGAACAATGGCCCTCCAACAACGAACCTACTGCCCCGGAACCTCACCAGGCCCTGGGCAAGCAGAAACCCTGGGTTTGCAACTTTTCTCAGCAAGCTGAAATCAAAGGAACTAGTCCAGAAATTATTTCTGCATGAGGGACGGAGCCCAGCGCTGGCTCAGCTCTTCTTCTGTGTGATAACCAAGTCACATCTCCCCACCAGGAGGGATTTGCCATGTTAAGCAAGGTTCTCTTTTGGCATGTTTCATTCAGGTGTTATATAAAACAGATTTCTCTCTCTGCAGGAGGAGTGAAATAAATCTGTGAAAAACCAAAGGGCTGATGAACAGCTCACCTCTGATTTTTTTTTAATACTTTTCTTTTAATAATATCTTTGTTTTATTTTTATGTGGTGCTGAGGATTGAACCCAGTGCACCCTGCGTGCGAGGCGAGCGCTCTACCTCTGAGCCACAATCCCAGCCCCCTCACCTCTGATTCTCGACTGCAATTTTAAAATAGGTGTGTTCTGAGCTCGGCAGGTTGCACGTGGACCCTACGTGGACCTGAAGCAGGGTGAGAACCTTCATTTAAAATAGCGACTCAGAGGTCCCTGTGCGGATTCCAAATTAAGACACAATGGAAAGCCGTCCAAAGGGTGCGGCTGCAGTCGACAGGACAGTTGGCTGCACTGCTGGAATGAGGTTCCACCGAATCAACGCGTAGTAAACACAGACTGGAGCCCTTAAAACACATTCCCTCCCGCCTTCACTCCCTCTCCCTCTCCCGCCCGGTTTTCAAGTGTCCACTTCACTAAAGCAGAAAGCGCAGCTGCTAAGAGGCTAAGTATCCATGCTGGCCCTCTCAAGTCCAGCTCTGTCGCTGGGGGCCATAACCAACGACAGACTGCAGAGGAAAACACAGCCTGCTTCATTACAAGAAG